GAAACCTTTTAATTTGCCCACTAATGCTTCCACTTCCATTTCCAAACAATGCAAACCCTTACAAAACCAACGTTCTCAATAGCTTTACGTATTTATTTTTTATTTATTATGCACTCATGTGAGTGCCACTGATTGTTGAGCACCAGACCAAGCCATAAGCACGGAAATTTGAAAGAAAAGTAAGTAAAAGTAAAGGTATAAGGCCAAGCTGACAAGAATTGACACTTACTACCTACTAATGTTCTCTTCAACTCACTTTTTCTCGCTCAAGTATACTAATAGCCAGAGGCTTTTTCAACTGCACCGCTCTAATCCTTCTGAAGAATATACAAGCGCGCTAACTCCAGCAGATTTCCACGATGGAGTGAGCAGCGAGTCCAACCAATAACTCTTGGAGGATAGAAGGAGCAGCATGAACAGCATTCCATGACTTTCGCTCTCACTTCCGCCTTGGCGGAAAATGAGAATACCCATACCCAGAGAAGCAAGGATGCTGAAGACGGAGAACATCTCCCACTCAAGCGAAACCATCATGCGAAACATTGGGAGTTTTCCCAAGTGGTGTGGTACCCACCCAATACTACATCGGATGAAGTTCCACCCAACATTACTGAGAATAACCAACATAGCAAATTTTCTATGCTCCATCGAACTTAATACATGGTAGAACTGCCATCGAAACGATAATCCAGAACAGTTTCACTCTGAGCCATTCAAAAATGGTAACCGGTACAGCAGACCTATTCATTAGACCCGTATAGATTGATCTCTATCCGTAGTGTGATGTGGGTTCACCTCATGATAACACTGATTTTCCACCCATGTGCAGCCGTGCAGTTACCACTGCCACACTAATCCAAGACTATTCTACTCCTTGGGTTCGCCTTGTCAGTGGAGGGGGCTGCAAGAGCCTACTTCTTCACTGGATTGAGAAGACAACGGCTAGAATGATTATTCAAGCACAAAATAAAACAAGAGCTAAATAGCAATATTAGAGCACCCTCCCCCTAAAGGTAAATGAGACAAGAAAGATCGTTCTTAATATCATATCTTAATATCACTCACTCAGAGAAGGAGGTAATCCTCCTATGAAATGCTTTTTTGGAGATCAAGATAGCAACCTAGAGGCAAGAGTACGACATTCGTTAGCTCAATCAACCACCCTCTCAATAAAAAGACAATGGGCATCAATTTCGCGCACGCGACACCTAATTGAGGTCTGAATGCGCGACAGCGGCATTAGCGCACTTAGCCAGAACACATGGCACGTCTAAGAATCCAGGGATCATATCCATTCCCAACGCAATTGCACCCTTCCAAATGACGAGTTTGGAATGCTACTGCAAAAACACTTCAACAAAATACGATGATAAAACATCTCTTTAGCGAAAGAGCTATCTCTAAGCCTCATTTGCGTAAGAGCTTATTTGGGAAATTAGTGAAAGGGCTCATTCATTGGTGAGCTGATACATTCATTCCAGAGAAACACAGTTCGCCCTACAAATCAGCAGCTTCTACCACCACGAATACTCACTCCGATCAATACGAGTCATTTTCGCTCAACTGTCCACACGTCGCTGATGCCAGTAACGACAACGTCAGTCGCGCCTGTCATTCAATAAGTAAAAAGAAGGCTCTGAACAAGTTTCGAAAATTTAGGTAACGACACAATATGGCTCAAGATTGAAGCAGGAGAGAAGAAGATTTTCAACCGCTTGACAACGTTCACCAAACGCGTCGTTGCTGGTAGGGTTTAGAATAGAGCCTAGATCCCTCAATACATACTTCATGAACACCTACGGTTTGAAATGTTATTGAAGTGACTATTCAGGCAAAACTGTTCTTCGTGTCCTCCTCAACAACGGCCGATATTTCTTCGACTATGATGAATTAACTGGTGACTTTGTCATGGAAATTCGTCCTGTCAATGTTGATGAAGATGCTGGCGTTTGGCAATGCCACGTTACCGTCTACCAGAAAGGAAACACTCATACCTCTTACCAGCCGAAGTCGAGTAAAAGTACCACATGGTGTGAGTTCTGATCTATCACATTTCACTCTATACCCCCTAAAGGGACCGATTTTGCTGCTTTTGCTAACTTTCTTATTTCATAGTGGTGGACTGGTCGCACCAATTCATCAAAAACAACTTTTCAGCCTTTCAAAGTAAGGCAAAGAAATTGGGGCCACTCTCCATAGATGACGAGCCATGAGCTAAACTGAATTTCCGTCGACACTAGTCCGCCGCGATAAACGTCGCTGCATCAAGGCCCCAATGCATAGGCCGGGCCCATAGCACACATTCCCAATTCAGAATTGATGGGAAAAGAAAGATGTTTTTCGTAATTTAAAGTTAGAGCGTAAACTTCGCGATTAGAATCAATCTTCGGACCACTAAACAAGATAGCCCTCCTACAAAATGATTTAGAATGTTTCATGACACTAAAGTACCAAAAGCTAAACATTTACTTCCGTTCACTGCAAATTTCCGTTTTCACTGACCATGATTCTAACCTTTGCCACGTGACCTCACAGCAGCAAAAGCAGGAATGGGCTTGTTAGCACAAGTAGCCGTTAGATGAGGAACTTTGTAGGGAGAAAACATCACGTTTCATCTTATAGCTTTGCAGCCATGTCTCGGTCCGGGAATGGGGGCGGGAGGATACACAGAAACATTAGGCAGCACCTCAAGTGATTAATCCAATTGAAAAATCTACCAAGTGCTATTGATTTCGCTTTTCGGGCGTACATTCTTGAACGCCAAGCCCAACCATACTGACCTCTTCAGAGAGACCCCACACTATAAATGAAATATGGCCCCATCGACGGCTCTCAACCTATGACACATGACCCTGTACGAAAACTGTGTAGCACCATATTAGGACATTTGACATTATTCGAAACTATCCACACCTCAGGGACAACTTTTGCAGCAACCAGACAGGGTAGAAATATCCTCGATCACCTAAAAATGAGTAGCAAGCAGTCCACATAAACATTATATGCAGAGATGCTGCGCGAAATTCATACTGTACACCCTGAGACGCCTTGACATTTCATTTCCGCCAGCTGGCGAAATGTTAACCAATGACGAAATTGCCGTTCGTCGCTCATCGATGCGCGAATTCACACTGGTATCTCTCAAATCGCGCATATTTAACACAAGCGTTGACAATGAAGCACCGCAACCAACACACAGCAGTGTGTCGAATTTATCTCGTTTCTTGCTTAACGCACTATTTCTACCTCAATCGACCACAAAACCATAACCTATCTAGAAAACAGGTAGCGGTTTAAAGGGAATTACGCTGAAAGGCCAACCGCAATTTTAATTAGTCAAGGATGGTCAGTTAGTACAGGTCCAGGAAGAAAGAAAAAACTGAAGAAAATGGCCCGTGACTTAATAAATGGGATTCCATCCTTGCCCGTGCCCGTTCATTTCCGCATTGATGGCTCTCTTCAACGCTAACACTCTCTCTACCATGCCGATGGGTGTACCGCGCTTACTACCAGGAGTGAGCCACGCTAGATCGCCAAGGTCAAATCTTTCGTTGCCAATTATGCGTCGTTCCACACCCTCACGGATTCGCCTGTCTCCCACCTAGGCAATTTTCCCCTTCTTTGACCTTTACTGTGGAATCCTCCTTTAAACATCGCATCACACGGTCGGCTGGCAAACATCTGCTGCCGCGATCCAACTCAATTCAAGCGCTCTTTGCGGCGGATCAGAAACGACCTTTATCTTTGAAAGGAGCCGCCGATGCTATTAGCGTCTGAATGAAAAATGCAGTCCACAGAGACGACTTTGTCAAAATCACCTCTCCACTACTAAGGGAGTTAATTCTCGAAAGATCGCGGAAGAAATGCGCATGCCAATAAACAGGTTTATCGGCATTAGTTTTGAATAACAGCTTTTCTCGAAACAATAAGAAGAGAATTACCTTTTGTACGAGTGATTTTACAACTATATTCTATCAATACCACTCCCAAAATATACCCCTGAATTGCATAAATTTATCATCCCCTTATTTTCTGAGAAGCATCGTCAGACATGGTCAAAAACCACAGAAATGCATCAATTCTTATTTGGTTACAAAACTACTTGAAAGGATCCTGCATGGGAAATTCTCGCATCCATTCCCAATATGAGTACGTAATTAGTGATCATTATAGATAACGTACAAATCTTCAAGCAAGAAGATTCCGCTCAGAGAAGAAACAAACCCACGAAAACGACCCTCTGCGGACGGTTGCCGGTAGATAAGGGGAAGCCGGAGAGATGCATGGAACCCTGTTAGGTAGCCCCGTAATGACCGACGCACTGAAACAATCGGCTAGAAGAGTTTGGATTTGGAAAATAGAGACAGAACGATCGACAGATTGTGCGAGTCAGATGTTTCTGCCAAAGATGAAAAGGCCAAATATTGTTTTCGGTGATGGCACTCCAAGAGGCAAGAGAAAGCGTTCCTGCCGCCACATTTGTGACAGATGTGCGGTGGGAATTTGAATTCGTAACAGTTCTTTTAGTTTGAATTGTTAATTAAATAAGCAACTTTTTGTTTTTCCCCGTTCTTATTGTGGAGTATGACTTTTGAAGCTGACGATTTATGGGACATACGATTGTGCTATTTTCGTGGACGACTTTCTGTGAGAGTGCGGAGAGGCAGTTGCCGAGGTGAAATACTTCGGTTGGAGACTCCGATGAATCTATTTCTCCGACAGCATGATCGAACATGGCTCCATCGACAGCTCTCCAGATGACAGAAGACCCCTCACGAAAGCCGTGTGGCACCATGTTATGTCACCATTATTTGAAATGAAGTCTCCCACACTGTAGAGAAAACCCCACCGAGAATTAATTATTGTAATCCCAAACAAGAGCTCTGCATCAAGCAAACCAAATTTTCACACTCTTTTCGAATAGAAAACGTTCGGGATAGTTGACCCTAGAGTCGTCTGGAAGAGAGAAGCATTGAATTGTACATGGAATTGCTTACCCATGTTACTATGTGGGTCAAATTCGCACTCAAATACCTTCAGGAAGATATGTGGACTAATGTTCAAGCCAGTGGTTTCAGCAGCGCAGCCAGCTCAACCTCAAAAAATGTAAAAGCTTGAGTGCAGAGTCTATGATACGATAGAGCGCGGATGTACACCAGAACGTGGTCCCAAATTCACCCCTCTGCACTGATATGAAAGTAAAGGAAAAGCGTTGAATACTACATTTGTGACCACCTTGTTGGGTAATCTTGAGTAGCAATCGCAGCAATGAATGTTGACGATGAGCACAAGAATACATAAATGAATTCACGTCAATAACTATACAAGTAATCGGGCAAGAACAACTGCTAGCACTACGCGCTACAATAGTTCCCCAGTTCCGCCATAAGTCGACCTTGCAAGATGCAGTCGTATACAACAGCAAAGAGTGGGCAAATTCACGCATTCCAGACTTCTTAGAAAAACCCGACGAGAAGATTGCCTTAATATCCAAATTGATGAAGGGAGTGTTACTAAAATTACATTATTTGAACTTTCAATTTCAGCAACGACCGCACAACGGTAAGCAGTCGACATTCACTCCCCGCCTCGTGTACGACTATTTGCCGATATTCCAACAGAAGCCTGAACCTGAGTCGCGGGAAACGAAGAAATTCAACAAAGTCACGTCTTTCACGCGGAAACGAACATCAAGTTATACAAATTAGCAGGTAATCAAAACCAGGACTTACATCGGAACAGAACTCAGGAGCTCCACATTTCCATACATCCCACCACTTTTGCATTTGAACCCACATCCTGTTCAACTTCCAAAACAACGACACCCCCATCCAGAAATCTCAAATCGAACCCCCGGTAGTAGATGGGAATGTCCAAACGAACGGTTCTTCTTAGCCACAAGCTCAACTGGAGTTGATGGCGCAGAGCCACCGCCGCTCTGAGTAGATTTGAACACCAGTAAGGACTCATCCTCATCCTCCGCCTTCCCTTCAGTCGCCCCAAAGCGGACAGAGGACCACCCCTTCGACGTGGTCACGAATTGAAACCTGAAGCTATTGAGAACAATGCGAAAAAGGGTAAATGGGACCTAATAAGGGACAAGTCATAGACTGAACCACTTCCGTTCTATAAAAAAAACGTCGGGATTATGACCTAAGTTTTCTGTAAAATCAAGTCATGCGCTCATTCAAATGCTCTTAACTCAGAGTAGCATTTCCTCAAGCGTGTACACTTCCCAATCCACATTCTTAATCAAATATCAATTATTTAGCATACGGAATGCAATAAAGAAAAACAGAAAAATCAGTAGTGGTTAAGCAAAGGAATGATGAAGGAAACGCACAGTAGTAAATAGGTGTGAAAAAAGGAGAAAAAACGTATGAAAAAGGACAGTAGGTGAAATAGGCGATTTCCACTTGCCTGAATAAGATCACGCAATTGGTTCGCGTTCAAAATTGTAGGGGGTTCAAACGTGAGTCAGATACATAAAGAACTGACAAAACCGTGGTTTCGCCGTTATAACCTAACCGAACAAAGATGGCACAGGTATCGGAAGAGATGAAACGTTCTGCTGAAGCCGGCAAGAATCGCTGTGGACACCAAAACAATATACACTGCGTTTCATAAATATAGGTCCACCCTAAATTTTTGCTATTCCAAAGTTGCTGCGCATTTTTGGGAAATGCCGCTATTACCAATAGTTTCCCCATAAGGAAAAACCTTGATACTCGATTTTTGGAGAAATCTTGATTAAGAATAATTAAAATATCTTTTTTAGAGCGTATTTTCACCGTTTCGCGAATATGACTACAGATCACTTTTCGAGAGATTTTATTATAGCAAAAAAACGTCACAAATTTTCAATAATGGGATGGTCCTCCCATAAGTCATAAGGAACACAATAATACGTTTTGGAATGCTGGTAGCCAAATTAGCTATTACAGTAGGATCGAAATTTGTCTGTGCGCTGATGATCGACGTTTTCAGCTCTTCGGCTGTTCCATTTTGCTTTTCTCTGCTGTGGAACTTTATAGCAATTAAGGCCTTATGATTCTCTATTGGAATCTGATTCAGCTAACATGTTGGCCACCAGGTAACTGCCATATTTTTTCCCACAATTCCATCTGGCGTGGAAGGACCGGCATGGACAGCCGCGTTATCGTGCGTAAAAATCAAGGTTCGAGGGAGCTGTTGTCGGAAAGATGGTAACAGTCGCTTCAGAAGAACTTCACGATACCCTATGGAATCCTCTTGAAAGGAAACAAACACGAGCTCTAGCCGCTCAGTCGTTCAAAAGAGCCTCAATCCATAAGGGATTCTTCGCCAAAATTACCTTACATCAAAACCATCTGCGATTTCCACGGAACCCTCCCGTACGCTTTTTTCTATCAGATCCACCTAGAATAAACTTTTTCACGTCGATCTCAGATCACCTGTAGCACGAAACAAGGAGCTAGAGTCCAAGATCGCGAAGGGTCTGAACAGCCACACCTTCGTTCATAAAGTTGCGCCCTTTTCCACGCTGAAATGGAGACGTGCGATCTTGTAGCGCTCAAATAATCTTGGAACGCTCTTCATCAATCCGCTGAAGATGTATTGCTTCGCTGACGTACTCACCACACGGTGGTTTTGCTCACGGAAGGCCGTATTTCAGCACGAACTTTGTTCGGACCCCTTGTACAATTCGAGAGAAAACCCAATTCCTCCTAAATTTTGAAGGAAACGCAGTCTTCATTTACCTAAGCGACTCTTCTCTCCGCACTGACCAGGATTTTCGCACATAGTTGCTTATGCAGTATGAGCCGGCCGACATGGGAGGAAATTCTGCTCCTCAGCCATCCCACTTCAGTAAGTGCTCTGGCTTGAGCTTGTTACTGGGAAGAGAGGCGAGTAACACGAGGTATGGTAAACTCGATGTCGACTGAGCTCAGATATATCCCCGCTTCCCTTATTCCCTTCACGGATCACGAGAAATGGAAACTTTTTATGAGTGGCCCGATATTCATGAAACGGTGAAAATTCGTTCTAAAAAAGTTAATTGGGTTACTTGAGGGGGGAACTTTGTCAGAAAAACACTATGAAGGTTTTCCGTGATGAGGAATCTAATGGATAGCAGCATTTCCAAAAAATGCACAGCAACTTTGGGGTAGCAAAAATTTAGGGTGGACCTATAATTATGAAACGCAGTGTAGTGTGCATTTTGGCCTATTGCAGTATCAACGGGGAAAAAGAGAGAAATAGTAGTCAGATAATTAAAGAAAGACCGTTAGAGGAGACTCACGTTATAGGACATCTAGTCTTCCTGTGAAGTCCCTTTCCTACTTATAATTGCACTAGTAACGTTCCTTAATTTTTTTTTACTTTTGCTACTTTTTATAGACTACAGTAGTTTGGAAATAACAGTTCTTGAAGTATTCCCAATGAAGTGTACTATTTCCAGAGACGATACAAAACGACCGAAAACGGTGGTATTTGATCGACAGTCTCAATCCATGCCACAAAATCGACATGCGTATGCCTCTGTAGATTACGAAATGAGTATCAACCAACCTGATGAAGAACCGTACTACCCACCACGTTCGCGAGTGCGCAGTGCGTACTTCAGCAGCGCTTCATCACGTTTATTTTTATCACTTATCACGGCGAGTATCTTATATGATATGTACTAGCATTGAACGTGTGTATGCAGATCCCCCAAGTATCCAGTGCGAATTGAATCCAGTCCGAGAAAAGTTGCCTCTCTAACAAAGTGTGAAGCAATTATGCTAAAACAACGCGCCTACAGGATGCATGGAACTTGCCAGGCTAACCTTTACTGCTCAGAAAAAAAGCCCATATATCCCCAGAGCCAGAGGTGTAAAACGTGATTTATCACTCTGACAATTTAATTTAATTTGACAGGAATTCCTTTTTGCATTTTGCATATTATTTTCCAAGTGGTAATTGTATTACTTAATAGTAGCGCGCAAAAGTGATAGCGATGTCGTGGAAGTGGAAACAGCAGTCCCGACCTCGACTAGTTCTTTGAGGTGCACTAGTTCAACTTCCACTCCAATCCGTAAAGGCCTCCAAACGCATATTAAAGTGATAATAAAATTGCAAGGAGCCTTGCTCACATCAGTGTCTTCATCTTGGATAAAACTGAAAGCGCATAGCCAAGGACGTGATATGGCCAAGAATGGATCAAAAAAGGAGTCATCGTCGATGGGAGTGCATGAGCGAGGTGTTTTTAGACTAGCTGAGCACGATTGAAGTTGGTAGAGTGGTTAGCATGGACGAAGCGTAGTAGAGCCTTTGAAGGGAGATGAGAATTTCTCCAGTTATGTATATACCCTTCCCCTTATTAGATCCACGTTTAGCCATTGGATTCAGCTTAGCCAAGCGAAAATGATGAGGCACCTCTGGGCGTTGTCAGCTATTCAAAGGTCTCAAATGAGTATTACCAGTTTGCAACTTTATGCGCCCTTTTGTGGTTATCGCCGATCACAATTTCATGGAATCTATATTACCAATCTTTTATTTATGTTAAAGTCTTAGATCTGGTATTTTACAGTTATACTAAATAACACTTTGCCTTTTGTTACGTTAATATAGATTGTATGTGTAGTTTATATAGTTTGCATAAATTATTTTGCTATATGCGGTCTTCTCGATAAACTTTATAAGCGTTTTAGTCGATACTAAACAAATATCAAAATGGTACATACCTTAGCTTGCCTCGCATAATTGTGCTCACTCTCTACCAAAACGAGGCTCCCGATGTTGGACTAAAACATCGATTCTGCTAGTTTTATATTAGAAAATTGGACAGAATAAATTTGCATGGTCTCTCAACTACAGAACGAAGCTACATTACCGCTCCAGAAAAAAGGCCAAGCAAAAAATAAATGCAACGTACGTGCACTAGTTTTTCAGCAAAATCAGTTGAATGAAAATTGAAAAGCGTCACTGAGCGATCAGAAAGTGACGTTTTCAACTGCGATCGACCGTGAAGAAACCCTCGAACGAGCGCTGCAATAGAGAAAATCACCAACATATTCGGGACTTGCTATCCTTTCTAGGAGGAAGTGTAAGGGCTAACTTATTTTAGGCTACAGAATCCAAACACTGACATAATATATGTCGCGCCACTTCATGCAGGTAGCCTGTCTTGGTGGAAAACCCTCGTACTACACGTCTCTTCGAGTTAATGATTGCACCCCATCGTTGCCAAATCATACCATGAAATCACAAACGGATTCGAAAGCACACCAAAAAGCCTTGAGGAGACGCAATTGAACTTTTTTGATAGGTCTTCGGTGATCTTTATTGACCACATCTGGAGATATTAGAAAATACACTTTTAAAATTTTTTACGCTTGTTGAAAAAGGCCTGAACGTTATTTAGCAATATAATTTCCTGGCACCGAATAAAATAATAATGTATAATAAGACAATCGGCATACTGAGAGCTCGTTTAACAGGAGCACATCCACTTTTCTTAGCTGTTGCCACTTCATCAGCGTGTATGTAGAGGTCCTTCTTGGATAACACCTTTGGGAGTACGTCCTCGCTCAACGGTGGCGGCTCTTCGATCTGCGACGACGACTCAAAGTCCGGAGAAAAGAGTTCGTATTGAGTCACGGAGGGAAACAAGGCATGCGACTGAAACTATGCAAAAACACATTGAGCAGTAGCAGGGGAAACGAGATTCTCTTTGCTTTACATCTTTAGAATACAGCCGAAATAGCTATCAAATCAAATGCGGAAGGGAAACTACATCTTGCTTACCAAGTTAGAGGGTTTGTTTTGCAATGCTTGATCTCCACGGCAGCAATAACTTCTCACCAGACATCGAATGCTCATTAAATGCTGTACACTGAACATTTCAGAAATCATGACTACCAAATCAGTGCGAGTAAGGAGCAGTGAAAATAAACGAAGAAACATCAAAGGTCTAGTGAACCTTGGATATCCTACAAAAGACTTAATTTGATAATTTATTAACGAGATCATCGAACAGGAAGCAATGAACCATAACGGACAAAAGTGTGGTATACAACAGAACAAATGAAACAATAAAAACCTAACCCTACTTAGCAAATTCCACATGAGAACCTATCCAAATCTAATCCACCGGCCTGGATTGAGTTACATAGATTACGAAACCAGATCAAGCATGATCAACTTCATACCAGATGTTGAAATAGTTAGAACCATCATTGTTGTCATAAAGATATGATGCGCGACATGAATGAATTCTGTCAGGAAAAATATATTTAGAGCACGTCAAAAATCATCTAACATAAAATTTGGAGATACGAGGTCACAGCATCGAGAAGCATCATTCTGTGCTCCTTCGGCGACTGAATATTTGTGCTCATTCCTTCTGCATCCAACGTTATCGCAGAATTGATCGAATCTATTCGAACAATCTTTCGTTCACCATCAGGATGGTTGATCACACGTCCAGAGAGATTTCGCTTAAAATAGTTAATAACCGTGAAAAACAGCAGAAATGCGAGAGAGCTCGAGTCTTTCCACGAACCTTTTGGAGAGCTTTCAAAATTATGTCCGTAGTGAGTTGTCCAGCATACTTGGGCCGGAGTGCGCCGACCTTCTTCTTGGCAGGCTGAATGAACGTACGACTCAGGAACTTCTAGATCCAAAAACAGCCGCTATCGCAAGACGGGGGCATCGTGGTGGCAATTAAGCCCAATGCGAGGGAGGAGAAACTCCATGGTGCGTCAGCCATTCACTCTCCCAGGAATTAGTGCCCTTTCCAGGCATAGTCCAGGAGGTGCCCCGATAGTGCGATAGCGCATGAACGCAAAATAAAAATCCTTCCATGAATAAGAGAACAATGCATTAAACATACAAGAAGTTCGTAGGCGCCATCGTAGGCACAGAGGAATCCCGTAAGTGAAGTAATGCCAATTTCAGGATTGGCGTAATGACCGCGGAGTTCGAGTCGTTTTATGACCTAATAATTAAACACGTTGCGTAGGTGCCAGTATAGCAGATGGTAAAGCACATCTCACATCAGGGCTTATCTTTATCTTCCTTTTCCTCATTTTCTTCGAGGGCAGTGAAATTGATATTTGCTCGTCGTATTTCATGGGCGTGGTGGAATTCTGTAAGCAAACATAAAATGATAAGGTCACATCTTGCACCAAAACAAAAGCTCATACTCACGTATTGAACGACAAATTCAATTCGATTGTGGGTAGGAGACTTGGAGTTGTGAGATAAGGAATATACCTCCGGAATGATGAGATTCTGCAGAAAATAGTTTTTTATTCAACAAATTTCAAAAACGTCATTCATATAATTCGCATGCAAGTGGAATGGATGAGTTGTTTATGGCAGGGCTATGGGATACCAAGTCATCTAAGGTTTATAAGGTTGAGTTCAGAATAGTGGATGGTAGTCGCCAATCAAGAATACCTAACTTTCCGAACAATACTTATCCATCTAGCTGCCTTGTAGTTGAGTTCTTTGTGAAATAATGATTGGGATTCCCGACATATTCATTGCAACGGGAAACCCTACGCGATGACGAAAGGTACGTCGACAAGAGAAAAGAAGAAAGCCACTTCAAACTTGGGAACCAAGCACGTTAAAACATCTGGAAACGGTGACTATAAGAGCTGTCTGAGGACATCCAGGTTAACCCTCCCAGAGCGCCATGCTATTGCGCTCTCTATGCTTCAGGGAAATTTCGAAAGCAGGGATGAAGGATCACATACGAATTTGCTGGCGCTACGCTAGAGAGAAGTTTGCACATCTCCCAGAGCTGTGCAGATTTAGCCGTTCAGAGTGACACAACGAGAGGCACTGCAGACAAGAGATGGGAATTTGTGTTTGCCCAAGAGGGAGCCCAAATGGGTGAACGCAGCTCGTCAGCAAAACGAGCCTCGAAAGTCTATTGAACGGAAGAATGCTCTGCTCTCCTGATTCACCGACATAGCCACTTACGGTTTGCATATACATCATACTGATGCGAATTCTGCAAACAGCAGCCTCCTATAACTGGAAGCTCCACATCTTATGGTAAAGGGAACCCATAAGGCCACACAAAAATTGGTTAACGCTTTTGCTCCGCCTGCCATTTCACATGACCTCACAGGGACCCAATTCCACTGGTTCCGCTTCCTAGCCCAATTCTGAAGAATAAGAGCTATTGTGCTTGCGCATACATATTTTTGTTAAGGACATCACAATTTTGAAAGAGGAAGATAGGACTCCATTTCCCTGTAACTAAATGACAGTTTTGGGTAGGGTTGCAGTCCGTTGGGAGTTTCCTAAAGAGGTGGTTCGCATTTTAAGATTGTAGGAGGTGGTCAGAAATCGAGGCCGTATATATCAGACGACAACCTCGATTAATTCGAAAATGTTGCCGAATTTAATAAATTAAGATATGTGTGTGCTAGGACTATTAACAACTCAAAAATGCACAATAGGGACAGCGAGCAAGCAGTCTCACATCTACAGACATTGAACACTTTTGTGCAAATCTAGAGATCCTCGTTGACGACAGCTCATAATCGCATAATGTGAGAAGCGAATAAACCGTCTTCCTCTTCTCAGAAAAAAAGAGCACTTTTTCTGACGATGAGAAACAACACATATACATATATACATATGAATATTTTCACTACTCAGCAATGGACAAGTGCTCTTTTTTAACAATTCAACCTAAAGATATGTCAGGGTACAAGACTTCTACCCATCAACGTCTTTGTGGAAGTTTCTGAGGCAGATCATCGCTTGATCATAGCCTTTTTTCAAATGTGATAACACTCACCTTAGGCTTTAATTCCACAGGGAGCAGAACGGTATTCACTTGGCAAAACTCAAGTCGAGTTTCGATAGGATAGTAGAATGCTCGAATCGCAAGATCTTCATAAGGAGCATACACTTCATTCAGTGGATAGTCAGGATCTAGAGAAAGTTAGATCGAGGTTAATTGAACTGAAACAATGGCACTGTTCAAATTGACAACT